AATAATAATAATAATAATAATAATAATAATAATAACAATACTTGTAATGATTAGACTTACATCATTTCCTTTAGGGTTGCTGTACTCAGAGACAACTATTAGTAGATGGGAACATTAAGCAATTTTAATGTTTAAGATTTTCTAATTATACACTGAAAATCATTCTTTAAAAGGTAAGCACTAGTTTTATGAGATTATTCTATATCGTATCTCTGCCCTTTGCATTCTGATTTTCAAAATTAGTGATTCAGAATAAAATGTATGGCTTGAAGTCATTGAAATATATGTGATTGGCATTATCCACATCAGTTAACAATTCTTTTTCTGTGTTAAATTTAAATGCAAAGTGCTTTTTAAAAATCAACCATCTAGGGCCAGCTGAGTGGCGCGTTGGTTAAGAGCTGGCTTGGGATGCCAGAGGGCCCCAGTTGGGATCCCACATATGAGGACACTGCCCTCTACAGCTAAGATGCTGAACAACAGCTCAACCTGGAGCTGGGCTGCCATGAGTCAGCGACTTAGTAGGCTGCAGCCCCTGCTGCAGTGGGTTGCCATGGGCTACCGTGTGTAGCCAGTAGCCAGCTGGAGCAGCTGTCCAGAAGCCAGCGATTGATCTGCCTCACCGGAAGAGCATAATGATGGTGCCAACTTGGGCCAGTGAAGCAACGTCCTCCACAACTAGACTAAACAACAAAACGACAGCAACTTGTCTGTTCTCCTTCCCCCAATTCCCCAATAAAAATCTTAAAAAAAAAATCAACCATCTAAATTGAGTCATATAACAATTCTCTGGAATAGGTAGATTAGTCATTACTATCCCTATTATATACTTAATAAAATTTAAGCAAATTCCAATGATCACCTGACTATTAAATGCTGGACTCAAGCCTTCAAATTAGGTGCCTCAGTTTCAAAAACAGTGTACTTTCCATTATCTCAAGCTTTATTTCAATTACAGTTCACTGTATAAAGAAAATATCATGGGTTTTGTTTTTTCTTATTCAATATAGTAATACTAAATAAATAAAACAGAAAAATAATAAAATAAAAAAGGTGGAGTGAGAGAAGATAATAGTAAGAAAAAAGAGCTTTATTTCTTATAAGATTAAAAATTGAGTAATATATATAATTTTATATAATATATAATTTTTCAAATAGAGTTGAGCAACAAATAATTTTAAAGGACCTGAAGTGATAAGAGTTTATGTGGATACAATTAACTGTAAAAAGGTCTTTTTTTTTTTACTTTTTTGGATGATATTATCTAATATTCTAACCTATTTAGAAGGCAAAATTGGAGATATTTTAAAATGAAAATTAATTCTGGACAAATAAACAATAACATTTTTTAAAATAATAAAATAATTATAACTTCTATTCCATGGAAAAAAACGGTTTTACATTAGAATTAACATATTTTTTCTTGTTTGTAAATGAGCTGAGAAAATTGGACTCCAAAAAATCTACCCTAAATATGTGAATTTTAGTGATGATACAAGTTGAGGAGGCTTCAGAATTTTGGCGTATAAGGCACGTCTTAGAGTTTCTGAGCCCGGGAAAGGAAGATCTGATAACTGAGCAGAGGCTCAGGCAAGCTGGGCAGTGCTGATTAAAGTAGTGTGTGAAGAACATATCTGTCCACAGATGATAACCATGACCAAATACAACAGTCCTCCATATTGATCTCACTCTTGTAAAACTGAATTAAGACCTCTCTTTAATGAAGCTGTCTATGATGAACTCAATCTTCCTCTGTAACCTCTCAGTACTCATTTATGTACATGCAATTTTAAAGATTGCACGTTATTCTAAACTCCCACTGTATCTGGCATGCATTCTTTACCTAAGCATCTTCTAATCAGGGTCTCTATGTCATCAAAGACAATAAACATTCTTGGAAAACTATAAAAATGGCAAAAGATCAGAGGTCCAAATGTTAAGCCATCAGAGTTTAAGATTTTTCTCATCATGTCCTTTCATCAATCCCAAGGAGGCACTCCTATATTATACTGTTACTAATAATGGTAAACAGTGCTCAGTGATTTGAAAAACTTTGTCTAACGGGACTGAGAAGATAGTGTGGGACTACATTTAAAGTTAGCAGCTTCCAGAGTAACAACCAGAGTGCTGTCAGAGAAACTTCTACCATGAATCTCTTCTGGCAGCAATGATTGAAAATTCAAAGAACACTTCTGTTTTGATGTATAAAACCTCCTTCCTGACTGCCCCCTGTGTATTCCCACATTGTTACCTGCTCTAAAGACTATTGTTCTTATCCACTCTTATTTTATTTCATGATGACCAATCCTGATGATTGGGCCCTATTATTTCTTTGGCTATCACCTGGTTGGCACTCATGGTGACAAGATCCTAGAATAGGACAACCAGAAATGTTGATGGACTAAGAGAAAATTGACTAAAACAGATGAGGAACACAGTGGCTCATGAAGGTCATTTGACTCTTTGTTTAAATACTTACAAACCAAATAGCCATGGGATGAGTTTACCTCTTAGAGGCTACCTCTGTTTCTCATATAGAAATAAGGATGACAAAACTTGTTTTGCAGAATCTTCTAAAAATTAGAAATTAATGTAAATTAATCATGTTGATATGTAAATTAAGATATGGTAGATTCTAATTTTCATCTACCATATCTTAATACATATCAACATGATTAATGTTCTTATCTCTTGAATAAAGACAACAATGTTACCTCTCTGCCCCAACTCCAGCCAGAGTTTCCTTGGTGCATGTGATATAATGTATTCTTTAAGATTTGTGTTCCTGTCTTTAGTACCCAAATTTGATTTGAATATAATGAAACTGCATGGAAATGAAAAGTAGTCCTAGACTTAAGAAGAGAATTTTTTTTAATTAAAATTTATTGGGGGGCCGGCCGAGTGGCTCAGTTGGTTAAGAGCTCGCGCAAGAGTTTGAGCTCTGAGCAACAGCGGTTCAATGCCTGGCCCGAGCTGAGTTGCCGCTGAGCTGCCAACAGGTGTCAGGATGGCTGAGCTAAAGAAAAAAAAAAATTTATTGAGGTGACAATTGTTAGTAAAGTTACATAGATTTCAGGTGTACAATTCTGTAATACATCCTCTCAGTTTCTTTCAGTGAGATGATCCAAGAACAGGGAAAACCAGAAATGTAAAACTTTTATCTACTCTAGTAGAGCATGAAAGTTAGATTATCCAAATTGGCTTTACACTGGAATGAGGTTTTGCAAGGATTGTCCCACTGCTTTATAGGAGGGTCTGAAACTATCCCACTATTTTCTTTTTGTTAGTTTGTTTCATTTTTGTAAAGTTGCCCAAAAAAACTATGCCTTTAGAAAAGAATTTCTGCTTCCTTTTCTCTCCATTAAAAATAATACATAAAATAAGATGATTTTTACTTCACATTCTAGAACTCAGTCCCATTTTTAAATGTTTTGTAACTTCATTAGCTTATCAAATGAGGTATCCTAATTTTTGCTTCATGAAATACAAATAAACATACATATATCTTACTCCTTTGTTCCTTCCATTAAAATGTTAAGGGTACAGTTTTGTTTTTTGGTTTTTTTTGTTTTTTTGTTTTTTTAGCTGAGCCATCCTGCCAGCCTGTCAGCAGCTCAGCTCAGGCCAGGTGAGCTCTTAACCAACTGAGCCACTAGGCCAGCCCCTAAGGGTACAGCTTTTTAAAAACCCAACCTGTGAGGCCGAGAATAATTTTTTTTTTTTTCTGTTCAGGCAAAGGCTCTATAGCAAGAGTTACGATACCTTGTTGACTTAAAAGTCTGTTAAAAATCTGAAGTTGGGTTTAGATAAAGTTGTTGAGTTGTGTTTCCTAGAGACAGGTTGTATGTCCCTATGTATGCCCTGTGTTCTTGTAATTATGCACAGAGCCTGAAGAATGGACAACACAAAATTCCTTCCTGATTTATAATTCTCAGGCATAAAATTTAAAACTAATCAAAGAAACAAAACACGATCTTAATACAGTCTCTTTATCTGACATCTATAACTATTTTTTTCTTTCTAATTTTTTATCTAAAAATTTTGCTTTCAGTTTTTAAAGAAGCTCTGCTGAGAAACTTTGAGAGTCATAGTCTCCCCAAATGGCTGAGTCACTCCACATCTGTGAAAGTTAGCAGTTCTCAGCCAACCGCCTCAGCTGAACCTGTCTCCTGAAGATAACAGGTTGTAGCTGGAGGAATTCTGGGCCCAAGTAAGAGGTTTTTTGTGTTTTTTTTTTTTCCTCTGCCACATATGTAACATTTCTCTAGTCACTGTCTGAAACAGGCTAGACAATTCCATGTGAATTGTATTCCTGTCTCTCTCTTCCTCTTTGCCTCTCTTTCTTCTGGATATATTTTATCTTGTCTCATTCTAGACCTTTAGGAAAAGTGGAACACTTTGCAAAGGAAACTGTGAGTACAGAATTCTTTACAGTGCAATTTGTCCCCAATATAATTAGGAAAGGAGTTTGAAGTTTCTGTACTATTTCTGAAGTGGATTAAGACTAGTTCTTGACTCTTAAAAAGCAGAGAAGTTAAATTCTGATTCTGTTTTTGTGAATGTCTCACCTTAAACAATGACTTTGAGCTTGTGGGCTATATGGCACTGAAATCCAGCATGACCTGTTTACATGGGTTCACAGAGAATGACTAAAAACTTTGAACCTAATAATACGTGATACTGATTTGAGTCTCCATAGAATGATTTAGTTCCATAGCCAAACTAGTAAAGGCCATCTACAGAGCAGTAATTATATTTAGAAAGAAGGAGATTAAATTTGAATTTTATATTGAACGTTATGGCTGAGACAAACTATGGGAAACTCTGCCTATATCCGGTGAATGAAGGTGGACTCTGTGGAGATTTTGCAGGATGTTGTCACAAAAAAGTTGGATCCCACTGTAGAAAGGGGTATTTTATGTTGTTTGAGAGTACAATGTTTTCTATTTCAAAAGCCAATTACTGAAATTGTACAATTTGGAATTTGTGATCATTGGGTAGAAGATGGGCTGAACTTTTGATTTTTAGTGCTTGTGAATTAAGCAAATAAAAAGAGTAAAGAATATATGAGCTATATTTTTTAGTAAGAAGAAAACATTTTTAAATGTTTATATATATCATTGGCCAAGTTAGTTGCAAGCTATTTTTAATCACTCATTAAATTAAATTCAGAATGACCCGTATTTGTCAACATCTTATTAGCCTTTGAAAGCAATCAAATTATATTTTTTATCCATCTGAAACTCTGTGGTTTCTAATTTATACCTGACTTGCATCATGTGTCCAAATTAATTCTATTTATAAAACAATAAATGTTGGCACAAATTTATGTGAAAAGTTGAAAAATTCTTCTGACTGATCAAGAATTATTACCCTACATGGTAGCTGTATATGGGCAAAATTATATAAATGTGCTACAGCTCTTCTAACAGCAGGCTTTCACAGGTTTAAAGATACCGGAACACAAGTCCAACGTAAGTAAATGCCTTGGGATATATAAAAGGGATAATATGCTAGAAATTTGAAAACCAGCAATAGATAGAAGTTTTTAACTTGCAGGCTATGGAGAGCAGTGGGCCAAAGGTGCTGGAAACAGCAGAAGAGATCCAGCAGAGGCGTCAGGAGGTGTTGACTCGGTATCAGAGGTTCAAGGAGCTGGTTGCTGAGAGAGGCCAGAAGCTTGAAGAGTCCTATCACTACCAGGTTTTCAGACGGGATGCAGATGACCTGGAGAAATGGATCTTGGAGAAACTCAAGATTGCAGGGGATAAGAGCTATGAAGACCCAACTAACATACAGGTCACTCAGTTCCACTGACTTCCCCCAGAGCAAACCCTAAAACCTCTAGAAAGGGAAACATTCTTATAATGTAAGTGTATATGTGGTTAACTATAGGAAGATGATGTAATAATAGATTGGACTACCTGTTAGGGACAGTAATTTTGCCTTTAAATACCCCATGCCTTCAACTTCTTAAACCTCAGTATCTGATTAACAAAAGAAAGTAATTCTAGATAGCATTCTATGAATATAATATTCATCTGATGTTAAACTCTGGGCAAAAGAGTGAGAGTTCAAAGAATTTGTTCATATGATTTCAATGTTTTGTGACATTAAGGGTGGAATTGAGGTGAAGAGTCACCAATGCTTCTGAAACAACTGATTTCCACTCTCCTCAGTAATATATGAGTTAACCAGGGTTTTTCCTGGGTTTTCCCCAAATGGCTAGTCATGTCTCTGTTATGTTCAAATGAGAGGTCCTAGGATGAGAAGTTTGATGGGTGTTTCCACCTTTACTTGTATTATAACATGTAGCATAGTTATGATCAGAAGTAAGTTTTATATGACTGAAAAGGGCAATCAGTATTGGAGAGTGAGCACTGGGAGCAAGAACAAAATGATATTGATTGAATGTATCAATTTATATATGACAACAATAACATAATATGGCATGCAAAAAATTATTTTTAAAAGTCATTATTGCCATGATCATCTTCCTCATTTTTCTCTACTGCACTTGGATTTTTTTTTCTTTTGAAAACCTGTGTGCAGCAGTTCCTCCTAGAGTGACCATTTCTTTCAAGATGTCACTTGCCAACTCTGGTCAGAGGTTATCACTTAATTTAAGTTGGGCAACAAGTAGTTCTGACTGAAAGTAAGAAGAACAAAAGGGCTTTTGTGTAGTCCAGGGAGACAAGGCTTCGTTAGCTCTAAACTCTGATTTCTAAACTTCAGGGGAAATATCAGAAACATGAATCCTTCGAAGCAGAGGTGCAAGCAAAATCAAGGGTTATTCCTGAGCTGGAAGAAATCAGGAAAGTTCGATTTGCTGAGGGGCATTTTGCCCATGAGGACACCAAGGTAAATATATGGTAGGCTCTCAAAGATAAGTTTCTGATGATTGATTATGTTATTGGGTCTTAAGTGATTATACTGGCTATAGACCTTGATGTAGCTGGCTTAGAATTAGGGCTCCTATCTCTTATCTTCTATGGGGCAGGGCAAGAAAAGTGATGGGATGTCCTTGTGTTCCTTGGGGTGGGGAGAAGAGCTATGATACAAACGCTGTCATTGATTACATCACATTCCTCCTTATGCCACTGCAGAATAAATTGACTCAAGATCAAGCCTACTTCAATCTGGTTCCACATTTCCCAGATAATGGGCTTCCCTAAATGTTTTAATTATTTCTTCTGACCTCAGAGTTCTTGTTCCTTAAACTCTTCAAACAAGGAATGCTGTCCATTTGAGTCTTCTCTGAAATCTTTCTCCCTTTGTCCATAATGTCTCTTTTTCTTTACAGTGCACATGCTATGATCACTATTACAGATCTCCAAACCCTCCTGTTCACTTTGAAAAACTCCTAAAATCCCTTATCTTCAAAAATCCTCCCTGAACATTGAACATAAGGTCACCACCACTTTGGAACCCATTACTAATGTATCTACTGTTTTCTAACTTAATCTATGTACTCTTCCAACATGTTTTTGTTGATATAGTCAATTCAGGATCTTTTATGTATGAATGGATTTTTTACTGTTTATCTATTTTTTAAATTATTAAAACATTTGTATTACATATTTTTTAATTTCTAAAAATTTATGTTGTAATTACCATTAACATACATTATAATATTAGTTTCAGATATGCAAAATGGCTTAGTGATTAGACATTCACATACCTCACAAAGTGATCACCCCAACAAGTCTACCACCCATCTGATGTGTACATCGTTATTATAACATTATTGACTATATTCCCTATGCTGTACTTTAGATCCCCATGAGATAATTTTTTAATTATTCATAGTTTTGCATGCCATCAACTTCCTACATTAATTTTTTTTTTTTAAGATTTTTATTGGGGAATTGCGGGGAGGGGAACAGCGCTGGGGAATTGGGGGAAGGGGAACAGACAAGTTGCTGTCGTTTTGTTCTTCAATCTAGTTGTGGAGGTC